AAACTATATAAATGCTTAGGGCACAGAAAGAATGTGATGGAACTCATATGTTAGGAACTGCAGAGGAAGACTCTACTGTATTAGGTGGAAAACGTGATATGGGGTATTAAGGAGATGATGCAAAGACAGCAGCAGAGGTTATGGCTTGTGGGTGTAGGGGAGAAAGTGAGCTTCCAACTTCTTGGTCACCTATTGTGCTGATATCCACTGGAGGAGCTGAGGGGATCTGCACTGCCTGGAGCGGAACTGCCGTGCTGGATATTAGGAGAAAGCTGTGGAGTACGGGGGCAGAGATACCTGCATGAGGGTCATCCTTCATATGGGAGCAGGTTTAGGCGACTCAGCTTGATTTCTCAGGCTATGAGAGCAGACTGTGGCCTTAACAAAGAGAAGTAAGGGCTCAAGAAGGGGTATTCAGGAACATAGGCCCAGAAAATGAAGTCAAATGAGGGAAGCACTTGTCATGGGAGCCATTTAACAGGGGAGTGATTTCAGAACATTCACATACCAGAGGCAAACAGGAAGGGGAATATTGTCTGAAAATTTTTATTTGACTGATGTGATTTCTATTTACCTTCATAGAGTATTCTTTTTATTTAAATTGATTTATGTAAATTTTTATTTTAAAAATGGCATCTCTATTATGCAACATTTCAAAAGTAAAGCAGAGAGAACAAAACATTGTTCATGATTCAATGAATGATCATTATCATTTCAATGCATTTCTTTCCAGTCTTTTCTCAGACATAAAGTCACTCTGCAACTTTGTTATATATAACTGTGAGTATGCTTGCATGCCATTTTTCTCTTTCCATATACTTATTTAATCATTTTGTCAAATTACTATATACAATATATAATCACCTATGATGCCTCAATAACACTACATTAAGGTAAATATCCAAAACTTACATAACTCTCCTTATCTTTATGCCTTTAAAATATCCATTTTTTCTTATAAAGTAATTAGTACTCTCTATATTTGCCTTTATTTAGTATTCTCCATATTTCACAACTTTTCTTTAGGAAGGAGTTTTAGAAGTGAAATTATACAAGGGTTATACACATTTTAAGGGTTCTACATATCTATTAAAGTTGCCTCTAAGAAAAATCCACGTATAGCATTACTATTAAAGGATGCAAAAACCCGAGTGTATGTTTGAGTAGTTGCTGTAGTGGCACAAAGGTTGACAAACTTAGTTGTGCATAAAAACCATCTGAGTATCTGGCTACACATCCGGTTCCAGAGACAAACATCCTGATCCAATAGGTCTGATATCTGTATCTGTGACAACCCGATTTGACCAACCCAATAATTGCAAAGAATAACTGTTGAAAATACTATTTTGAGGAATTGGCTCACCTTTTGTGTATTTTTTTTCTGTTGATAAATGAGATGTTATAAATCCAGAAATTCTTTATTTTCAGTAAAAATGAAAACTTCATGATTCTTACAAGTCTGTCCTGTGTTATACCTTGGAGATGAACGGTTAATTTTTCTTGGATAAGCCCAAACCAGGCAGCCCTTGATTAAATGCTAATTTCATGAATATAAAGTAGAAATAGTTTTTTCACTGTTACCTACTAGCTAAGCAAAAATGCTAGTGGCATCAAGTTGTCAAAACCCTGATGTTTTTGGTAGAAAATATATGTAAATGGAAAAAGGAAATGGTTCTCTATGCCTTTGGGACTGCACCAATGAACCAGTTCTCTCTAAGGCCTCCTGCCTCCTCCCCAGCCCCATTCAACCCCAGCAAACTGACAGCCTGGTAGTTATGACAAGTCCCTCTCCTGCCCAGCAGTCTTTTCTTTTCCGTTCTATTTCCTAGCTTCTGTTCACTAATGCAGGGGCAGACAGGAGGCACGAGTCAGGCAAATGAGCTCCTTCTTGGTGATTTCAAGTCTGAGATTTTGTAGCAGTGGTCTTCCACTGCATAGCAAAAGACCCCGTGCTTGGGAGCTGTCTATGGTCCTGTTCATGGTGAGAGGGAACAATGCTGGCATCAAGAGACTAAGCAGCAGGATTAGGAAAAGGGGAAGCAGTTCAGAAAACATAAGCCCTTGGTTATGGGATTTTACTAAGTCTCCCTGTTCTCTTGTCCTTTCAGCAGCGATTCTATATGCTGCCCCAACATTCACAAATAAGTTCTCTAATATTCATAGGATAATTTGAGTGGGATTTGTATCACCTGTCAGTCTTCTAATCATTATTCACACCTAAGCACAGGAAAGCTTGCTTCCTGAACTGTGGACCACACCTTTGGTCCTTGTGGGAGGGGAAGCAGGGGTTGCTATTATTGCTAAATCATGTGACACAATAGAAAATTCCAAGGTTTTGAGTCTTGGAGATATATAATTAAATTCTGGTTATACCACCACTTAAATTGTGGATTAGGGTGTGTTGGTAGTCTCTTTTTCCTCTAGATATACAATTGAGATATTGTCAGTTAAGAGCTTAAAAGTTAAAGAGCTTCAGAGAAATTTTACATTAGAAAATTCATCTAATATATATACATATTATATATATATAATATTATATATATCCATCCATGTGCATATTAGATACTCCTCCATTCTTGTTTGTGGCTCTGGGATCCTTCAAAATAATGACTTAAAATCTGTATTTCTTCTGTTTATTAATTTTTCCATATCTAGCATCTCTGAAACCCAAAGATCTTTGTTTTTCTCTTTCATATCCATGACAAGAATTTACCTCAGTGGGGATGAACTAATCAAGTTTTTTCAAATGTCTTTGGAAATTTTTCACAATAGTCATTTTCCTGTGTGTAATTTTCACAACCAGTCAAGTTCATTTATGGGTGAAAATGAAAATGAAGAATCTCTTGTTTTGTATCATGATTTAATTCTGCATACGACATGCTTTTATCACATCCTTCTAAGATAATTGATGCAAATATTATCATCCCTATAAACAGAAGTAAAAACTTAGACTTCACCATCCTTTAGTTCAAATTGTTTCAGTGGGGCAGACATTGGATTGGGTACTGGGATACATGAAGAGAAACCAGAGCGGAAGATACACAAACTATTCAAAAATATAACCATGGGTGGTGGAGAATCTAGGGACAATAGGGGCCCAGAGTACTGAGAGTTCAACTATAAATTAACAGGAAGACCAGGCATGAAATACATGACTCTATCAGAATCAGAACTAAAGCTAAAGATGAAGAGTGATAGTGTTTTCTGATATTTTCTACTTTTGTTATGTGAGATAGATTAGACCTTGTCCATTCTCATGGTTCGTCTAATATTCTATGCAATAGTGAGTTCTTCATATAATGGTACTAAAGTTTTAAAAGTATAACTGTAGGGTAAAATCTGACTTTCAGAGGTGCTGTCTGAACATCAATTTGCATCATAATATGAATTAGAAAGTCAGCAGCATGTGTTGACTGAAAGCCTGGACTGCAAAGTCATGCTGCTTATCATAAAATTCTGACTATGTCATGCACTGGGACAGTTAAGTACTTGTGCCCCAGTTTCTGCAAACGTAACGGAGATCATGATATTATGTGAGCATAAAGAGAATAATGAACTTGCAGGCTTTGGGATAGTTCTTGGCACATAAAAGGCACTGAAGAATTTTTGTCCTAGGAGAAGAGGTGGTTCCAGATGGAAAGGAAGTCTCTAGAGGGCTGGGCACAAAGTGGTCCTGGACTGCTCACCATGCTTACTCTGAGACTTCCTTGGCTCTACTGTTCCAAGGACATGGGAAAATCTCATTTCTAGGTTATTATAAAGTAAAGCAGGAAGAAAACAAGGTGAGAAGGATGTAGCAGTTCCTTCCATGCTTACCATTTACTTTTCCCCAAAACAGACAAGTCCTTACACAAAGCATTTAGTCTTGCTGGTCCTACAAATGGGCACTCCATAGCCTAGCACTGAGGCTCAGGTGTGGTTCTGGAGACTGGATTAAACCCTTATCTCTCAGGATAGTTAACCTAGAAGCTCACCAGAAAGTGTCTGGAAAACCTTCTTAGCCTATCTTTTATTAAATTTGTTTTTTTGAGCCAGATGTAGCCCAAATGGCTTATGTCTGTCATACTAAGAAACAGTCCTATAGTCTTACAAAAATTTCATTGCACATTACTAATGACCCTTAATGATACAAATGACTGTTTTAGTGCTGTCCACATTATTTAACACTTCATAAAGGATAGGAATGTAAACTCTACTGGTGGACCTCTTCCTCATGCACTTGAATGCTTATATTTAAGTACTCGAGACACCATAAATTTGCACAACCCCCAATAGTCAAACCAAGGATGAAGAAAGATTATTGAGAAAGCTTTTTTTTCTGACTCATTTTATCTTTTAAAGGAAAAATTATGTGTAACCTTTACTTTTTAATGTAACTTTTTATGTAAATTCCATTTGTAAATATATTGTTCATTTTTTAAAAGTTGTTTTATTTTGAAGATGTATAGCATTCTTTGTGCTGAAAAACATATCATGGAACATGGATTTTTCAGTCAAAATTATTTCTCTTGAAAAACAAGTGAAAAGATGACTTTTCCTTGATATTCATGGCTTTATCAGGATTATAAACTTGCAGGTTTTCACTTCCTGATAAAATATTTATGAAGGGAAGAGATACTCTTGTCTGTCAAATTATATTCTCTAATTCAGCAAATCCTTTATCTTCTGGAACATGATAAACTCTTTGGCAAATTTGGGCTTGGGCATTTCTCTCAAGATTAGTTCAGATTATGATCTCTGAGGTTTTGCTATTATGCCAATCTCTACAAGGAAATAAATCTGTTCTAACTTCCCCCAAAGTGTTTTGACTTTTTCCAAGCTGTATAACAATAGTTTTATTCAAATTGATGCAAATTTGAAAAGCCCTTGACATTTCCCTAACCAGGCATTTAACAAAAAACTCCAAGTAGCAGGTGTTGGCTTTTCTGCAACCAATCATCAAATGAGCTTCTTACTTTTTCTCTCTTAAGTTTCTGGAAAACTCTGAACTCACTTTACAGTCTGGAGAAACAGGCCATTGATCCAGGAGCACATAAAACCAACTGAGTTTTGCCCTGAAGTGGAGTGTTTGGCAGGTGTTTCTGAGGCGATTTGAGGAGCATCCTAAACAGATTGTCAAGGACACTTGGGAACAAGGGCAACTGTAAATCAAATCCTTCCCTCTCTTTCCCGCTGCTGCCTAACTTCATCTATTAACTGTGAAATAATGACAGCTAAAACTTTTTGACAAGCACCGTGAGTACTTCAAGGGCTTGCCTTTACTGCAAAGCCAGTAAAAGTCCAATCTTGTGTTTAATAAGGTGGGAGGGGACAGAGAGGGTGAAGTTCCACTGAGTTAGGAGTTTATGGAATGCATTACTGGTAAGTTTCACTGTGAGAAGTTTACAGACGTGACTTGATGTCTGATGCCTTGCATCTCCTCGTGTCTTTGGTTTTTGCTTTTGTTTTAGTCTTTGTTTTGTTTGTTTTGTTTTATTCTAGGGTTTGAATATGTGCCCTCCCCCAAATTCATCCATTCTACTAATTGTGTTTGGACACCTGTTACCATCTCTCCATCTCCTTCTCAGGCTTCAGTAATCGCCACTGTGCATCCCAATTGACTGTTTTTTTGTTTTTGAGGGGGTGGTTTGGGTACTAGGGATTGAACTGGGGACCTTGCACTTGTGATGCAGGCAGAGGAATCACTGAGCTAAATCCCTGGTCTGGCAACATGTTTTTTGACACATAGGTAAGTACTAGGAAAAAATAGGTGACTCAGTAGTAAATTCTCATGTCTTTGGAATTCTATTTCCTACTCATGGGGCGCATAGGAACATGCCTGTGTCCCCATAAAACAAACGTTCATGTTTAAAATTAATTTTTCATCTTCATTGTGAAGCCTTCCTGACAGTACACAGAAGTGACTCTTGTTCTCACTGTGTGCATCCCTTTTAATTGCGTGTTTTCTCTCAATTGTTTGTGCTTATGTGTGAGTCTTGCTCTCAGTAGGATGTGAGTTTCTGATGAGCCATGACAGTATCAAGTGCACTTCCTGCTCCTCACATGGACCACGGGTGGGGCGTATCAGATGCTCCAGTCCTGCGCCCATTCACTGCTTTGATTTCCAAATAGTGACAAGATTCCCGTTCATCTAGCAAACAGATCTCCAGCAATTCCAGAACACTCTAAAGGGTAACCCCATCATCTTTTAGCTATTATTGAGCAATTCATGAAAATGTGCTGATTAACAAGCCACCAAAGTGGAAGAGATTGCTATTGTTGAAATCCTTATTAGTGAGCAGATTTTGCAGCCCAGTGGCAAAGAACACATGTGCCTGGAATATCTTGAGGAGGTTGGGAATCTTTGAAAGCATGGATGATGGAATGGTGAACATTAATAATATGCTTGGGGTGCTCGAAATTCATAAGTGCAGGTATGAATTGGCACTGAGCAGAAGCCCTACCATTTAAGATGCTGTCTGTGTGATCCTGAACTCCAAAACTATTCCAAGGGGGAAGCATGTATGGAAAATGCGCTGGGGCTTGAGAGGAGAGAGCTGCCCAAGGTAGCACTGTGCAGCGGAAAGAACACAGCCTGGAAGTGATGCTGACAAGCTCTGTGATCTTGGGCTTGTGTACCAACTGCTCCGCACTCCACTTTCTTTGCTTATGACATGAAGGCATTAGGACAATAGGCTGCTTTCAAATAGTCAATTAAACAATAGCCTCATATGAAATCTAATATATGACATCATTAAAGCTGGTGTTTTTCTAAAGGCAGGGTCTGGAAATTGCTGAATCTGCTTCTGCCTTTCTAATACTGTTCACAAAGGACACTGAAGAACATACAAGGGAAGTAAAGATTCCTGGGGACACAGATGATAGACCAATGGTCTAAAGTCCATGTCCATGCATATCTTATATGCTAGAATTACATGACTCTGATTTAATGTCATATTTCTGTAATAGTATTTGCAATATTAACAACAGCTACACACTTGGACATACATATGTATGCACACAAGTATGGAAACATGCAAACTTCCTCAAAATTTACAAAATTATTCACATTCAATACTGCTTTCAGTTTCAATTCTGTCCTGGGAGAAAGGAAAAACAGGGATCTCTAGTCTCATTTCACAAAAGAAAATGCAACAACAGATTGGTATTCACTAAGAAAGTGGCTACTGAGGATCTTCAGATGTCTTCAAATAGACATTACATCAATGACAGTCTTTGGGAGTTGCATCATTTTGAGTACCTAGAGTGTGCCTTGACTATGTTGGACACTGGAATAGAAAAAAAAAAAAAAGAATTCCTGATGCTCAGATATTTATGCTCCAAGGATGAATACATACATTTTATCTAATTTTAATGCAACCTCTTTTAAAATACTGTTCAGTTCAGAGTTCTACAAACACAAAGGGTCATTCAGCACAGTCTGGGTCTAAGGGATTGCTCTTGGAAAGATAAGCTACCTGGCTTAGGTCTAAGAGAGTAGAGAAGAGGATTTCAAGTACAACATCATGAGCAAAGACACCAAGGAGTCCTCAATGGCATTCAACCTGAGTAAAAGGAGACAAGGAAAGAAAGGTGGGGAGATGAAGCAGTAGGCACAGGCAAGACACCAGGGACCTAGATGCAATGCCAGGATTTTGCCCCTGAAAGCTGATTTTAATTGGAAAATGAAATGGTAATATATTTACGCTGGGCTTTACTGTGCAGGGAGGATTAAAAGTGGGAAAGATTGGAGAGAGAAAGTTAGGAAGTAATGGCAATAGCCCAGGAGTGAGATGATATGGAAGTACTGCAGGGGAGTGGGTATTACTTAAAACAAGAGGACAAAACCACTTGCTCATAACTAAAAGATATAAGCCAGTCTTGGCCTTTTGGGTTTCTTTTGTAACTGTTGAATACCACCCTGAACGTAGGCTCTCTCCTGCCTTTGTAGCCTTGTTCCCCAGAGAGTCCCTCTATCACCATATGACAAAAATACAGCACAATAATAAGTGAACACAAAGGTAAGGTCTCAAGGGGTCTGGGTATGAGAGGGGTGTTCAGAAATCGGCAAAAATTGCAAAGGAGATTTGAGAAAAATCTGAATGGTTGCATATTTTCAACTTCCATATTCCATGTGTAAAATTAAAATGAAACAACCTAATACAATATTTGCGATAAAAGCACAGAAAGAAAATATCGCTAGTGCTCATACCTCAGATAAATCAATTAGAAAAATACTTATACTCAAGAATTTCAATGGCCAAAGGACTTAAGTAGACTATAAATGAAGAAAAATAGCCAAGTATAATAACTTAAACTAAGTATAGTAGTTACCAGTCTAATAGAAATAAAAGCTAAAAGAAAAACAAAACAATTTTTCCCGGTCGAATTCCCATAGCTGTTTTAAAACATCACTGTTCCAAATGGAGTTGGTGGGGAAGGGACTTGGTTGGGAGTTTGGGAGTTCGATGGGGAGTTGAGAGCATTTAAGCAACTCTTCAGGAAGTGCTCACTCTCTTTATCTACCTCTCTATCTACACAGTATGTGTAAATATATGTATATACAGATATATGTTTTTTTAGTGATATATTTCAGTGTGTTTTTAAAACAATTAAACCATTAGAGATCTTTGTTTCTTAGGATTCTACACCAAAAAAAAAAAGATATACAGTTGGATATTTATTAACAGCAATGTAAATTTTGACACTATTCACAGTGGTCAAAATTTAAAACAGTTATATGTAGCAGTGGAGGTTTGCACCAGTGAGTAATGGCCTAATGATAGAATGATCATTTCATCCTTCTGAAATTTCAACTTCTTAGCTGGGTGTGGCCTTACACACCTATAATCCCAGCACCAAGGAGCCTGAGGTCAGGAAGAGGGCCACGAATTCAAGGCCAGCCTGGACTACATAGGGAAACCCCGTGTCCATAATGAAACCAACTTTAGCTTAATGATTTTATTACAAAGATTCATTGACATTTCTGATTCCCTACGAAAAAGTTTTGCTATTGATCATTTATTGTGCAAGGAATTAACTTTTGCAAGGTGATAATGACCTTATTTCTTTGGGAAAAAGTCATTATTCGGTGACCTATCGCAAGTCCATAAAACTTACACAGGTGATTAAATTTGTTATGAGGAATGCTTTGTTAAATTTGTAAGTCTTGGTAGAAATGTGATTGTGGAAAACCTCAGGAACATTTATTCACAAATTTGGGCATTACTTATGGTTCAGGTTAAATAAACTAAAACAAAACACTGAAGTGTTCACAGTGCTAATCTATAGGTTGGATGACAGAAAATTTCTTTTCATTTTGGGGAGGGGTTACCCAGAATCAAATTCAGGACCTTGCGCTTGCCAGGCAGGCATGGCGCCACTGAGCTAAATCCCTAGGCCTTTAAATAGTGCAATTTTTGTTGTTGTTCATTTGTTTTGTTGTTTGTTTTATTTCTTTGGCAACAGATATCGAATTCAGGGTCTTGCGCTTGTCAGGCAGACACTGTTTCTGCTGAGCTAAGTCCCTGACCCTTCTTTTCACTTTTATGATTCTGAGCTTTATTTGAGTGTGTATTGCCTTGAAGATCAGAAAGGTATACAGTATCCAAGTCACAAAAATTAGAGTCACACTCTACTGACCTGGTCATACCTCCAGAATTTCTCAAAAGAGACTAGGAAAAAGCAGGGATGTAAAATTTCATTCACAACAGCATTTGTTTTTACCATTGATTGTCCCATTAAAAATCTTGGAAAAGGGCTGGGGATTCATCTTAGTGATTTCGCCACCTGCTGCTTAAGCACTGGGACCCAAGTTTGATCCCCAGTACCAAAGAAAAAAAAGCTTGGAAAAGATTTCCTTTTCAAGTTAATAAAGCTACCTAAGTTATTTTCATTCCCATTATCAAAACCCCCCACTCCTTGCTACCACTGCCTTCCCAACCCCACACACCCACCTCTTCCAGCCTCTCAGTGGGTGACCAGGGCCCCTGAGATCCCCTCCTCCTCCAGGAGCAGATCATCTCTCCTGTCCTGGGCAGAGCCCAGCTCACAGCTCATCTTTTTAATTGCTTCAGCTCACAGCACTCCTATCTCTGTCTGCAGACCCTGATTATGCTGTACCTCGTGAATAATCCGCATCAGGACTTCTTTCCACAGCCTCCCCGCCTAGCCTGTGATATTGCTTGATCCTTCCTCACAGCAAGTCTGCAAAAGTTTTGAATTAGCAAGCAATAATCCTCCAGCCAGGATGAACTGAGGACATGGCTGACTCCAGGGTGGATGTGGAGAACACAAAATACCCTCCCCACACAGATCAGACAATACCTTCCCTGGAAAAGAAAGGTAATGAGGAGAAAAATTAACATGAATTATATTTATTCAAAGTCCACTATGGGGAGTTACTAATTAGTGTGACCATGGAGTTGAAATATTTAACTCTTACATCAGAGCAGAGTAGATAAAATTAAGCACATCTGTTCTCAGAATATTGGGGTGCAAAGAGTATAAATAGCATGGACAAGGCTATAGAATGGGATCCCTGAGCTGCAAATGCTCATTTTGCTGTATGTAGCAAAGTTGTACAGGTAGAGAGGGAGGGATTAAGTCAATGAAACCCAGAAAATTGAACTTGATGAAGAAGGAACAAAAGCCTACCCAGAAAGAATAGCCAAAGGTCCCCTGGACCATGTGGTATGAGAGATGTGGTGTGCAGAAAAGGGTGGGAAATGCCAGGGCTGCTAGGCTGTGCACCCCTAAGCCAGATAAGGGACTCAGAGTCTTTTATGTTAAAGACCCCCAACTAAGCTTGAGAGTGACTTCTGGATCCTAGTATGTGTCCCATTGTCAAGCTCTAATATAACAAACGTGTTTCCCGATCCTTATTCTATAGAACCTGTTCTCTGTTTCCATACTCCTGTTTCTGATTTTGCTTCCCTATTTTTCCCTTACTTAGTGCACTTCAACCACACCAGACTTCTTGCTCACCGCAGACTTGCTCTGCAATCTCTTGCCTCTAGCCTTCTTTCTTCCTAGAATACTATAGGCAGTCACATATCTCCCTGAGTAACTCTCTCACTTTCTTCAATTTCAAGCACCTATTTCCTGCTCAAAGAATACTAATCCAATCAATCTCTTCTCACTATCCCAACACCCCTTACTTAATTCTCTACTTCTTTTTTCATAGCATTTATCACTTAAACAGACTCTACTTTCTTATTTATCATGTACATTGCTCACTGTCTTTCTTCCCCACTAGAATATAGTTAGCATGTGCATAAAAGGTTGACATATATATTCAGTCAGTTAATGTAAGAAGAGTACGAGAGTATCTGGTACACAATAGACAATCAGTATTTGTGGAATCCAAAGCTGGAGAGACATGTAAAGCTGTAGAAGTTACACAAAGGTATAGAGCCCCTCAAATCAAATGAATTGAATATTAGGAACATGAGAAGATTGCAGTAGATCAAGAAATTGTCTTTTAGGTAAGGCAACATGACATTTTGACCCTTCTCACTATGTTTACTCCAAAAAACAAAATAAGGATACTTCAAATAATCTAATAGTAGCAACTGAGAATGTGTTGTTAGCAAATTAATCTCTACAGTTCCCTGAACCCATGCACTTCACAAAACAACTCAGGAGCTGCCAGCAAAAGGTGAAACCGACCCTGCAACCCTTGAATCTGGGCTCACCTTCTGATTCATTTTTATCAGTGGAACATGACAGAAAGACATTGTGACATGCCTCAAAAGACTTTGCATAATTCCATTCTCTCACTTGGAACCTTTTCAGACACCATGTTAATTGTCTACTCCAGTCTGCTGCATAATGAGCCACACCAGTGATGAGTCAGTCCATTTGTTCCAGTGAGACGTGTGGAAAATCCCAGGTAAGTTCAGCAAAACCTTTGGCATACCCATTACTGACTACAGATACACTGATGAGGGAGCTTATCCAATACCAAAATTTCTGCCTGGCTGCCTCTTCCCTGATTGCCCACCTGAAGGATCGTGAACTAAGTGAATATTTAACTTGCTCAAGTTTGGGATTGTCTATTAAAAAAAACAGTCATGACACAGGTGTGTCTCAAAGGAAGAAATACTAATCTTTCGCTCCTTGGTTGTTTGGACACAGACAGAGCTGAAGAAACCCATGAGCCAAGAAAGGTTTGTCTGGTGGGAAAAAGGATAGGGAATAAGTTTTTGGGAGAGTCTGAGTCCTCTGACACCTGTCAGAGGAGTTTGGCCATAAAGTGAATGAACTGGGTTCTGTTAGTATAAGCACACCAGCCTAGGAGAACTGGTAAATCCATTTAAAAGGAGGAAGAGATTAAATTTTTGATGATGAGGTGGCCCTAGATCATCAAGAAGGGAATCTATGACACAGGAATCCCCCAACGTTGGTAACAGCATGATGAAGGAAAGCTTTGGATGAGACAAAGTGAGTGTGACAGAGAGCCCATGATTGTGGACCAAACACTACTTGAGCCAGAAGGAGGGAGTGAAGTAGAAAAAGGCAAGAGGTTGTGCATATAGGTGTGTATGGAGGTCAGGGAGGAAAAGCATGCCTGATGGCTACCCCTGGGGATAAGAATATTTTATATAAAAGTGGAATTGCTAACTGGGTCAAGACTCAAAAATATGGTGATGATGTGGAAAAGTCTCTGGGAGCAGAACTTGACCATAAGCAAGTAAACCAGGGGAGATTATAACAAGTGATTCCTGTGACCCTGTGACCCATTTCTGCTTAGACTGTGGGCAATACAATTGAACAGTGCTGAATGCATGAAAACTTCTTAAAAATGCATGCCAAATGACTTCGGGGAATGTTTTTTCCTCTGCCCATCTTCTCAGTGGCAACCTAGCATAATGAAATAGGTGTTTGATACATTTTGAGACCATGAAGCTCTAGGTTCCTCAAAAACAGAACTCAGGATAACAGATAGGGACACAGATAGATGCCCTGGGGAGAGGATTGCCTCTTTATAAGTAAGTTCTAGAACAGGATTTATTTTCTTCTTCTCCCTTCCCTCCAGCTGTGTCATGTTTGGGGGTGGGAAGATGCTTAATCTTCTGCTCCAGGCAGAAGACCGCAGGAAGTAGTGTAGGGTTAGATTTGGGGCAGCAGTCTCCTTTCCAGTAGAGATAAATATCCCACAGTTTCTCTGGGAGGGGCTGACGCAGAACACTAGTCTGTGTCTTCTATATTAAAAGCATTTTAGGGCTGGGGATTTTTGATCCCCAGTACCAAAAAAAAGTATTTTAAAATTTAGTTAAAAATTATTTAACCTGTACTAATTTCTTAGATGAAAAGCTCAGAGCCCCACTCTGTATTCAGATAGAGTGTGATTCCCAGCTCTGACAGTGGTTGTCTGAGGGTTGGCACATTTGTTTTCTTTTTCTAAAGCCAATTTCCTCATCCGAAAACTGAAAATAGGCTAGACTCCCTTCCTCAGTCTGGGGTCTGTGTTCTAAGATTTCCAGTGGATTCCTACAAATGCAGAAAGTATCAAACACTATATATGTGCTATGTTCTCTATGCAAACATAACCATAATAAAGTTTAATTTAGAAATACATAACCATAATAAATTTGGCACAGTAAAAGATTAAAAATAATAATCAATATTAAAATAGGAAAATTATAGCAAACGACTGTAATAAAGTTATTTAAAACATAAGCATTTTTAATTTCTGGAATTTTCCATTAAGAATTTTACAGCTGTGGTTGATTGCAGGTAACTAAAACCACAGAGAAGTGAAATTGAAAATAATAGTTGACTACTGTAATGCTAGCAAGATCAAATGGGTGTGGAAGTTTCAGAAAAAAATCAACTGTTATTGACTAAATACTAATGGCAATATGTCATCACCATTCCTTAAGACTCCAAAGACTGCTATTTAAACATTAAGGAAGCAGAAAGAAAGCAGACTCTTCATATTCAGGATGGCTACATTTTTTTCCAACCCCTGAGCTTCTGGAAATTATTACATTTTGATTTCCAGTGGTTGTACAATATCCATATCTTGTCTATGACATGGCATACAGAAAAAACAAGCTTAACCTGATGTTGCAGTCTTAATTCACTCCTCCTCCCACATATGAAAAATTTTAGTTTCTAGAGGTATTTGGAAACATGCTGTAAGTTTCTGATTCTACATGAACAGCAGACATACATAATAGGAGGTGTGATTGAAGATATGGTGAATGGTTTAAAAATGATCACAGTAAAGACACATTACCATTAAACCACTCAAAATACTAGTCCTCTCTTGGAACACACTTATCCCACTGTTCTTGGCACCTTCTGAAACAGTTCTGGAATTCCTCATTCATGAGAGTCTTTAGTTGTCTTTGTTGTGTTGTGGCTATCTAGATGTCTGATTTGATTCAAAACATCAATCTTTCAGGGTCATTCTGTCTTTGAGGAAGGGCCAGAAGTCACCCGGGGCCAGACCCAGTGAATAAGAATGATGAAGACATGTGGGAATGTGTATACAAGCCCCCCTTTCTGTCGGATAACACTCAACAGCAGGATTCACCATATTTTTCTTTGCACTTTGTAAAGATAGAGAACAGGACTTCCTGTACTCTTCAGAAAGTGGAAGAACAATGGAACAAGTGTGTTTGAAGCAGCAGGGAGTGTTTTGAGGAAAATTAATGGCAATGTGCCTTTTACCATAATTTTCTTATTTAGACATTCACAGTATATTTTGATTATCCCCTGTACTCGTGTCTCTCTCCCCATAACATATGGGCTCAGTGTACCTCATTTAAATAACTGGTACCTGTTTGGGACTATTTCCAAGTTGTGAAATACAGAAGTAACTGTGTGGCCACCAGCGCTGGACTTGATGGGTAGGAGTCCATTCATGCCTGGACATGGAAGTCATTATGAAGACAAAGCTCCACCATGATCTTGTTTCTCTGTCAAAGCAATTGTTCCCCTTTCTGTGGTTTTCTTTTTAGAATTAATGTCACAATGTTTGGGAGCTTGTTTAATGGATGATACCAATTGAGCTTTTAGCCTTTTTCCATGGATTAGGTAGCATCTGAAAAACATTATTATCTCAACATAATATCCACAGATTCATTTATTTTTCTGCCATTTTATATTGAAGGAACCACCAAAGTAGAGTTAAGGAGGAGGTAACTTTCTTCAGAGTTAGAAACAGGTTATCCTCTCTAGGAAGGCTGCCACTATGTCCTAAGGGATGGCAGTATCCACTGAATGTTGATCTCAATGAGGTAAAATGGATTATAAGTTAACAAGTAGTATCTCTCAGAATAAACATGAGAACTGCTGTAGTCTATATACCTGACACCTTAACACCAAAAGCTCTACTCAATGAAGTCTAATTTTATTGCTCCCAAGTTGCATGAGATTGCCCAAGTTCCTTAAAGCTTCTGAGTTTTAATTTCCTAATCTACACAATGAGGTTTACAGTACTGATTTTGAAAGATCATAGGACATTAAATGACAGGACACATATAAAATTGTCTATCAATGGGCCTGAGACCTGACAGGCATTTTTTAAAATGCTAGTCTCTTAGGAAAAAGGTCAAGAAATTCACTCAACTAACTTTTTGCTTCTATAGAGAGACAGAGCCTAGAAGAACTAAGCCAATTTGAGCTGTTCTTGATGAGAATGTAATACACTACCCCATTTCCCTTACTATGTTAGATGAAAGGCCTCCAAGGTTAATGTATGAGAATCAATATCAGACATGGATATACATTGGCGATTTCTAGACACTGGAAAATTTAATTTATTAAACTTGCTAAATTTAATTTACTCTTATTATTCATTCACTTACTTTTTTCAATAAACATTTTTGAACTCCAGTTATGGGTTAGGGAACATGGTTAGATGTTGAGTGAGAAAAATGGTAGATGGTATGATCTTTATGGAGTCAGGGAATAAACCTTGCAATGATCACACAAAAAAGCATGAGATGTTCGCTGGACAGAGAACCGTGAATATCAGGATGCTGTACTATATATCAGGAGAAGCTGCCCTCATCCAAGATGTCTGCAAAAGTTTCTTTAGAAAGTGATGGCTGAGGTGAGACCTGAAGAATAATATCTGTGTAGGAAAAGGAGGGCAGAGAAGGAGGCGCAGAGCAAGAGCACAAATATTTTACATCAAGAGGCAGCAGGGAAAATATGGGGAACTGAGAGAAGGCAGGAGTTCTGGGTGTCCTCAGACGGTGGAAGATGAGCCTCAGGAGGTAGGAATGGGCTTAGGGACTCTGCCTTGAGCTTCCAAGCTTTATGTCTGGAAATGCTTACCTGGGAACCTGGAACTTCTGAGTAGACAGGTTTTATAAAGGTCACTCTGGGATGATGGAGGCTAGCCAGTGGATGACTGGTAATAAATGGTAGTTAATTTGGACTAGGAACAGGATTTGTGCAATTTGGGGGAAGAAGAATGGAGAATAAGGACATAGTGATTTTTTTAAAAAGTTAGAAGACTGTATCAAGATGAAATGTAGATTTGTGGCTTTCTTAGTTCAATAGACAGTTTAGCGTTCTAGTGAAATAATGAAGAGTAAAGGAAGCCTATGTTTGTTGGGCCTTGTTTGGGGAATGTTGGAGTAGCTAAAGTAGTCAGTGTGAAACTGCAGGACTGTGTGCACTTAAGAAATACCAGAGCAGATCCCAAGCAGACCTTTAGATATGAACGCCATGATTTGAGAAGAGAGCTGTGGGATTTGAAGCATGTCGTAGTGAACCATGTGAGTACAGTAGAGGTCTAGGGGATGGCAAAGTCATTAAGGAAGTTAGGGTAATAACAGAGAGTACCTAGAACTGCTTTTGGAGAATTTATTGTCAAAGTTGAGAGAGAAATAAAAATAAGCAAGAAGACGAAGGAGCAAGAGACTTTAA